GGACCCACCTGCTCTCACTGGGCTGTGCACTGCCTCTGAAGCCAGCAGAGTTCAGCGTGGCCCAGGAGGGCGGGCACAGCCGGGGCTCCACGGGGAGAGTGGCAGCTGGGTCGTTAAGAGGTTCGCGGCAGCAGCCAGAAACAAGGGTGTGGGTGGATGAGTGAGAAAAGGGATCCCAGGGAGAGGGGCACTGTGGCCTGGGGCCCGGAACAGGGACCTGGACGGGGACTTCTCATTTCAGCATTGGCTCCAGGCTGTGGAGCGGGCCCAGTGGAGATGAGGCCAGGGAGGAGGGTTGTGAAGGCCAGGTGAGAAGACTGGTCTCACTGCAACTATGACTCAGTGAGGGGTGGGGGGCGGTGTTCAGTTGATGAAAAGGACACAGGTTTCCAGAAGAGACATGAGGACAGGGTGAGCGACTGGAGCTCAGGAAGAAGCTCCTCCCCACGGAGGCCTTTGTTCCCTGCAGTTCCGTTTTGTGTGTGACATTCTCGCAGCACACTGAGCCGGGGCGCAGCTCGCACAGCTGAGCGGGGTGCCCACAGGCCGGGGTGCATCTCACCCAGCCTTCCTCCGCTGCCGGCCTGGGCGCTCCTGGGCTTTCCTGGGGCACGCTCTTTTAATAATATAAATATATTTTAAGATCCTTTCTTTCCAAGGGGTTACAGCTTCAGAAGCCTGAACAAAAAGGCACATGAGCAATGTTTTGTTTTATCTTTGCCATCTTTTCGATAATTGTCAGCACTTAAAAATCAAGTGATCTCATAGGAAAGCCCAGATTTATCCCTTTATTGAAAAACAAAGTGGCCGGAGATGCTCGGAGGGTGACAGTGGGTGGACCTCGGCCCCGCTGCCCTCTGCGGAGGGCCCCCCTCTAAACTGGCACACGCCAGCTCCGGGCTCCAGGCCAGTGGCTGTCCTCAACCTTGCCAACTGCCTTCTTCCCTGTGCCCTGGGTGTGGGTGGAGAGCGCCAGTACCCGCCTCTCCCTGCACTGAGGCTCACTTGGAGATCGTCTCCACGAGTCTCCACAGCTGGACTCCGAGCTCCTGGAGAGCAGGGTCATGAACTACTCATCCTTTGTCCCTTGAGCTCAGCACAGGCCCTGGTCTGAGGTGCTCAGAACTTTACTGAATTAATCTTCACCGAGGAAACAACTTAGGTAGAATGCGGCCTTGGCAAGTCTCGCCCTGGGCTGAAGGATCTGTGCTGCTGGGGTGGGGTGAGCAGTGTGGGTCAGGGCCACCGCAGGGCTCAGACCTCAGGAGGCCTCACAGCCCATGTTTGGCCCTACAGTGGGCAGCCTGGGCCCGTGGCTCACAGCCTGTTTGCATTTCAGGACGTTCCAGGACCTGTCCAAGCAGGTGGAGCTGCCCTACGGCACGGTGCGCGGCTCGGCCGTGTATGAGTACTTCCGCGCCAAGGGCACCAACCCGCTGGAGCAGGACAGCACGTTTGCCGAGCTCTGGCGGACCATCAGCAAGAACGGGGGCGCCGACAACTGCGTGTCCAGCCCCTCGGAAGGCATCAGGAAGGTAGGCAGGAGCGGGCCCGGCCTGCGGGTGCTGTGGGCGCGGTCACCTCTTTGAACAGCCCTGTCACTGCAGAGCTTCCACCTCCAGCAGGTAGATCGGCATCTCTCCCAGCACGTGGATGCCACGTGAGACGCACGCGTTTCCTGGGTAGAGGCACAGTCTTGGCAACACACGGAGGGGCTGCTCGTTAGGTACCAAACGGTCAGTTTTCAAGGGGCCAGTGAAGAGCAGGCGGCTTGAGCCTGAGACATGGGCCTCCTTCCTGTGGTCTCAGGAGGCCGGCCCAGCGGTGCCTGCCACCCACACGAGGACACTCAGCAAAAGAAAACGAGAGGCCAGGCGAGACGCGGAGGGAGGGAGGGGGGTGCGCATGGGTCCGCTGGTGGTGAAGGTTGTGCCAGGGAGAAGGTGGTGAGGGCATCGGGCCGAGGGTGCAGGCTGTGTTGGGGGAAACCGTGGGGGGGGGGGTAAGGCTGGAAGGAGCCAGGAGAGAGGAAGGCTAGAGAAAAGCCATCACATCCTTCAGGAGTGGGTTAGAATTTGCTCATTTATTTCAGGTGATTTCCTCTGTGCACTGAATTAATCATGACCATCCCATCACACAGACACAATCAGACACTGCTTCACCTCCCTTAGGGGGAGGCGCCAGGGGTTCAGGCTGAGGAGTTTGCCTTTATCCAGCACAGGCCTGGCGGTCAGTGAGGAGGAGGATGGTGAGAGGAAGGTGGTGTCAGGGGCTGCCGGTGGGGCACCCTCTGTCAGTGGTGCTGGTCTCTGGGGCTGCTGTCCCTGTGGTCATTAGCGAACAGTGTGAGACAGATGCGCCCCTTTGAGCAGGCGCTGGCCAGGGTGCCTCAGCACCCCTCCCTTGTACCTATGGCACCTCCCACACACATGCCACATGCCTCTCTCTCACATATACACCCTCAGGCAGACACACACACAATGCCTCACACACACACACACACACACCCCTGTCCAGCCTGCCTCGGTGTCTCCTTGCTTCCTTCTGGTATAAGGCCCCTCTGTGTGACCAGCTCACAGGTTCTCACACTGTCACCCCCACTCCCACATACTCACACTCAAGCACACACCTATGTTCCATATCCCCAGCCACTTGCTGGCAGTTGGTCTTACTGCAGAGCGCCATGGCTATGAGGGGACCGTCTGGGGAATGCTCCAGGGCCACCAGGACCCACCGCCCTGCTCTTCATGATGTCAAGGGTGCTCAGAACTCTCCCAGCCAACTGCCCCCCCCAAACCCCCCCTGGGGAGCCCACAGGCCCAGGGAGAGAGGCAGAGGTCTGGGTCCTCTGTAGAGCCAGGGGCCGTTCAGGCTGAGTGTGGCTCCTGTCCAGGGGAACACAGCGACTGGCTCCGTGCTCCTTGTGGAGTGAGAGCCCATGGGCGGCGACCTCACACTGCAGTTAGTGCAGAGTGCTCAGACACTTCGACAGCAGAGTGTCTGGTTCTGGAGCCTGTCACACGTGGGTGCGGGTCCCAGCTCCACCTGCCACAGGTGGGTGCAGGTCCCAGCTCCACCTGCCACGTGGGTGCGGGTCCCAGCTCCACCTGCCACAGGTGGGTGCGGGTCCCAGCTCTGCCTGTCACATCCACCTGCCGTGGGTGCGGGTCCCAGCTCTGCCTGTCACAGGTGCCTGCGGGTCCCAGCTCTGCCTGCCACAGGTGCCTGTGGGTCCCAGCTCTGCCTGCCACAGGTGGGTGCGAGTCTCAGCTCCATGCCTGCAAGCACCTGTGGCGCTTTTCCCACCAGGAACCCTCAAAGTTGAGAGAGGCTGGGCCAAATCTGGGGTCTCCAGATACTTAAGACACATAAAAGTTCATGTTATGGCAGATCTTGAATATTTACATTTAACCAAGTGATACCTTAGCTAAAGTAATAAAATGCAACATAAATGGTGCTATTGCCATGCTTGCTGGATTTATTAACACCTGCATAGGATGGCGCTCTGACCCTCAGCTGTCGGTCTCCCCTGAACCCTGGCAGGGAGGCGCGTGCGGAAGGTGCCTCATGTGGAGATGATGCGGACAACGTTGATGGAAGGCCTCTAATGAATGTGCAGCCTGGTCCGGGTGGCCTTTGAGCATCCCTCCCTGCTTCCTCATCTCTCGGAGCCATCCTCCACCCCACAGGGAACTCCCAGGGTTCGTTGCAGCAGGGCTACAAAAGCACTTGTAATGACAGAAAGGATGGCTACTTCTGACTTTATTAAACTTCTATTAACTATAAGACACTTAAAAAATTAAAAAAGCACATATCACAGCGGCAGGGATATTTACAAGGCATATACCCAATACAGGATTAACATCCAGATTATATAAAGAACTTTTACAAATTAGTAAGAGAAGTTCAAACAATTTAATAGAAAAATAGGCTACAGACTTGCACAGGCCTTTCACAGAAGAGACAACACATATGGCCAATAATTATGTGAAAAGATATTCAAAATCATTAGTGATCCAGGAAATGCAAATTGAGACCATAAAGATATATCATTTTCCATCAACTAGACTCCCACAAAATAGGAGGTGGTCGGGAGGGCAGGAGTGGCAGGTGGCTAATAGCTAGGAGAGTGTACTCAGTACAACCACTTCAGCAACAAGTGTGCCATTCTTTATAAAATGGAATATTTACATACTCAGGCTCCATCAGCTCCACTCCTGTGTATCCACCCAAAATGAACTTCCATATGCATCCCAGAGACAAGAAAGGCCATGGGAGCCTTGCTTATGGAGCCAGAACCCTGGAAACAATCCAACTGAGCATTAACAAGGCAAAAAAAGTAACCGGCAAAGAAATGAACCCACTCCAGCTCCATGTAAGAGTATGGATAAAACTTAGCAGAATAAGAATGAGTAAATGCAATGCACCTGGGTCCACTAATGGAAAATAACTTACAATATGATACCCTTTTAATAATATGTAAGATTCTCGCCCCCCCCCCCACCCCACACACACAGTGACGTGCAACACAAGGCCCGCGCTGGGGGCTGTGCAGAGGGAGCGGGAGAGCTGGGGAGGACGGCCTGTGGGTGGACAGAAGTCAGGGTCTGTGTTAGCTTTAGATTCAAGGCTGTGTTTTAAGTTTTTGGTTCTCATTATAATCAATGTTAAGTGAGTTGATTACAAAGATGGCCATCTCTGCACAAAGGAAAGGTGTGGGAGCAGGCTGTGATGGGTGGGAGTAGCCTGGCAGAGGCGGTCACCGTCCACTGTCCGGAGCCGGGGCAGGGATTCCGTCATGGCGCCCACCCCTGCAGTCCTGCTTCCTGCCAGGTCCACTCAGACAGGGACAGCGCCCCCTCTGGGCTCTGATAGAGACCAGGAAGGAATCTGTCAAGAGGGGGAAGTTTTACTGATTCATTATGAGCCTACAACATACAGGTTTTCCAACAAACCTCCCTGGCAACCAGTAAGTTTCAGTAAATACTGATTGTCCGTGAGGGAGTCACCTGTTTGCTGCCTGACTGAGCCGAGGCACACACATTGGGGAGGTAGTTGGTGCCATCAGTTAGCTGGTTACCCTCCTAGCTTCTGGAATGCAGGGACAGGGGATGGTGTCAGGGTCTCGGTCAGACTTATCTCTGGATACTATTCTCAGGGAAGAGACCCGCTGGTCCTCAGAGACGGGAGGGGCTGCCTTCCTGTCCCTCAGCCACCTGTGCTGGTCACACCCGAGGCAAGACTAGACCAAGGGCTGGCAAATTACTGTCCACAGGCTGTCTGGCCCACCACCTGCTTTTATCAATAAAGTTTTATGCCCTAACCGGTTTGGCTCAGTGGATAGAGCCTCAGCCTGTGGACTGAAAGGTCCCAGGTTCGATTCCGGTCAAGGGCATGTACCTTGGTTGTGGGCACATCCTCAGTGGAAGGTGTGCAGGAGGTGATCAATGTTTCTCTCTCATTGATGTTTCTGGCTCTCTATCCCTCTCCCTTCCTCTCTGCTAAATATCAATAAAATATATTTAAAAAAATAAAGTTTTATTCAAACAGCCGAACTCATTTATGCACATGCCATCTATGGCTGCTTTCCTGCTACTTTAGCAGATCACGAGGGCCCACAGCCTAACTGTTTATTTCCTGGCTTTTCCCGAGAAATCTGAGCCGTGGGTGCCCAGGAGCACTGGCTTGGGTCTCTCCTCTACACCAGGTGGCACACCCGGCAAGCAAGGCGCTGACACCCAGCTTATTCCTGGCCTGGCCTACCCCCCGGCCCTTGGAACCTGTCGAGCAGTCTGCATGCCAGGCACTGTGCCAGACGATCTATGACATCATTCCTTCATCCCGGACAGAGCGAACTGCTCAGTACTGTCTCCCTCGTGTAGAAATGGGCTGAGCCTCAGAGACGGTGGCTGCTCCGGTCCCCTGACTCTGAGTCTCACTGTGGCCTCCCCCCAAGGCCACGTCCCCATCTCTGCAGCCCAGCGCGCCCCACCAGGCGTACTCTTATGCTTTCATTTTCCTTCCTCTTTCACATGAACTGAGCAGCACGTGCGCCTGGCGCCCACGTGTGAAGCCTTGCCTCTCCCCCCCCACGGCCGCAGCAAAGCTTCCGTATCTTTGATTTCCAAACTTAAAAATGTCAGTTAGAGATTTGAGATGCAGAACTGAGCTGACAATTTATGTAATCACTTTGTAACATGAAATCAGACTAATGTTGTTCGTGGGATGTCGTTCTTCGGCTTTTCAACTCTACCCAGTAACGTCCGGCAGACCAGGCTTCTGTGTAGCCCGGGGCCGGCCTCCCGTCAGGCGGGTCTAATATTCAATAACATCGCCAAGCAGACTACAGTGCTCACGGTGTGTCAGCCTCCACGGCTCACGGGGCTCTCTGAGTGAACAGACCCTGAAGCTGGAGATGGCGTGTTCAGAGCATAGCTGTCGAGTTGGGCAGGCTAGCGGCAGGTGGCTCTCCACTCCCTGAGCAGCACGGTGTCACAAAGCACAAACGCGAAGGCAGAAGGAAATGGGCTCACAT